TGCTGCTTGTACTGCCGGTACCCATCAGCTGCTTCCAGGGTCCCACAGGCCAAAAAGGCCCGATAGGATTCCTTCTTCTGCCTGACAGCATCCCTCACCACCGATGTTCACCACCGGGTTCGAGGGTTGCCGCCGCGACAGGCACCGACAACCTTGCGACTGCAGTTCTTGTAAGCCGCCTTGACAATAAAGGCACGGAACATGGCCCACTCGGACTCAATGTACCCCACCTCCCCCACCGGAACATGTTCAAAGTTCTCCCGGAGGTGGGAGTTAAAGCTCCGTCTCACAGGAGACTCTGCCAGACATTCCCAGCAAACCCCCACAATACGTTTGGGCCTGCCAGGTCTGACCGGCATCCTCCCCCACCATCGGAGCCAACTCACCACCAGGTAGTAATCAGTGGACAGCTCCACCCCTCTCTTCACCCGAGTGTCCAAGACATGTGGCCGCAGATCAGATGAGACGACGACAAAGTCGATCATCGAATTGTGGCCTAGGGTGTCCTGGTGCCAAGAGCACATATGGACAATCCATGACGAGCACAGAAGTCCAACAACAGAACACCACTTGGGTTCAGATCAGGGGGGCCGTTCCTCCCAACCACACCCCTCCAGGTCTCACTGTCATTGCCCACATGAGCATTGAAGTCTCCCAGCAGAACAAGGGAGTCCCCAGGAGGTGCACTTTCAGGTACCCCCTCCAAGGACTCCAAAAAGGGTGGATAATCTGAACTTTCGTTTGGTGCATAAGCACAAATGACAGTCAGAACCTGTCATTTGTGCTTATGCACAAATACGCTCGCTCTATATCAAAAAAATACTGCCACAACACTCTCTTTATTCACTTGAGCCTTTCTAATTTCATGCTCTAAACATAAAACTGGGTCCATTGTACTTCTCCCTCTCCTAAAACCACTCTGATACTTTGACATAAGTCCTTTATTTTCCATATAATATATTAATCTTTCATTTATCATTTTCTCCATTATTTTACATATGTTGGATGTTAATGCTATAGGTCTATAATTTTCTGGTTTTGACTCATCTTTCCCTGGTTTTCTAATTGGTACAATCACTGCTTCCTTCCAATTTTTTGGAATTTCCCCATCCTCCCATACTCGGTTATTTAATTCTAATAGAATATTTTTAGAGGATCTACTTAAATTACTTAGCATCGCGTAACAAACCTGATCTTTTCCTGGAGCTGACAATTTATATTTTTTAAGTGCCCTATTCAGCTCTGTTATTGTAAACAGCATGTTCAGTGAATAATTTGTGTTTTCTATTTGCTCCAATACCTCTTTGTTTTCTAAAATTGTATTTTCTCTTCCTTTTTTCCCCTCTTCACTAATATTTTCAGAACTATGAATTTTAACAAAAGTATTTACCAACATTTCTGCCTTTTCTCTGTCTTTCACTGCTGTTAACTCTCCATCATTTAGTATTGGGATATCCATTCATCCTTTTAATCCCATTCATCCTTTTGATCATAGTCCATACCTTAGAAATGTCCGTCTCCCTCCCTACTGAATTACAAAAACTTCTCCAATAATCTCTCTTTGCAGTTTTAATAGTTCTTCTTACATTTGCTTGCAGTTTCTTGTACTCATTCAGATTCTGAAAGTTATGATTTCTTTTTAATAATTTGAAAGCTTTATTTCGGTTCTTAATCGCTTTAGTACATTCTGTTGTCCACCATGGTACCAACTTTCTTTCCCTTTTCCCTCCTTTCTTCCTTTTAGCCTGATTGGCTGCTTCAAGGATAGCATTACATATATAAGATGTAAAGTTGTCAATACTACCAGTTATATCTACATTTTGCATTTTTATTTCACTACTATTCTGATAAGTTTCCCAATCTGCAGATCTAAAACACAATTTTTCCATCCCATTTATACAATACTTTTCTATTTGTAACTTTATTTCAGTCATGATAGGGTGATGATCACTTCCTATAGTTGTTTTATTGATTACTTGCCATAAACAAACACCTGCTAGAGAATCTGAAACTAACGTTAAATCAATTGCTGACATTGTATTATTTCTAAAATTAATTCTAGTTCCACTCCCATCATTCAAACATACCAAGTTTGTAGCATCCATTATTTCTTCTATTATAGCTCCATTTTGATCATTATGATTACTCCATAATGAGTTATGCCCGTTAAAGTCCCCACACCAAATCACTTTACCCTCTAAATATGTCCCAAGTTCCTCTATTAAGTCTAATGTAAGTTTTTTACATGGATTATAAAAAATTATTATTTTAAATTGTCCATTTATTGTCCAGATTTCAATAACAATATATTCTAGCTCTCTTCCTTTAGCTAAAACTCTAAACTGAATCCCCTGTTTAATGAATGTTATACACCCTCCTCCAGATCCTCCCTCTCTGTCTCTTCTAATGTTTTCATATCCATTTATAACAAAATCAAAGTTTGGTTTAAGCCAAGTTTCCTGAATGCATATAATATCTATATGTTCTTTGAATTATTTGATAACTCCTTTAAACTCCTGCCCATTTGATATTAGACTTCTAGCGTTCCACTGTAAGATGGTCAGTTTGTTCTGTCTTCTGGTCCTCCTGTTTTCCCTTCTGCTCCCAGTCTCTTATTTATGTGCTCCCAGTCTCTTATTTATGTGCTCCCAGTCTCTTATTTATGTGCTCCCAGGATATATCCTTTATACCAAAAAAAAAACAACCTCTCTGCCCCTTTCACAATTATTTTGATTTTTTCTGTTTTGTGTTTTACTTGCTCTGTACAATTAATAACATATGCAATGAACAACATGATCTTTTCTACTGTCAGTTCTGTGTCAGGTCCAGTCTGCCTTTGTTCTGATGTTGGTTTTAGCTGAACTTTACCTGGCACCTCTTTTGGCTTCTTCACTCTCTGAACAGCTTCTGCACAACTTATATTATTATTGACTTTGACTTGTTTGATTTCCACTGCTCTTTTCCTAATTTCACAGCCTCCATAAGTTACTCTGTGTTGTCCTCCACAGTTACAACAAGTATCCTTTCCATTTTTACACTCCTCATATCTATGTTCCCCTCCACACTTTGGACATCTTTGTTTCCCCCTACATGCTGCTGCGATATGTCCGTACCTCTGGATTTATAACACCTGAGAGGAGGAGGGATGTACGACCTAACAGGGAAGCACATACATCCTACTTTTATCCTTTCAGGAAAAACAGCTGCTTGAAACTCCAACATCACTGACAGACTTTCCTTTCTTTCACCTTCAACAGTTCTCATCAATCTTCTAATTTTGCTGACTTCACCTCCATAAATGCTGTGTCTAAATTTCTCCAGATCTTCTCCCACCGGGATACCTGTGATCACTCCTCTAGCTACCTTAGTCTCTCCCAACATCTTGATCTCACTCACTACTTTTTTACAGATACTCTGAGTTTTCATCTCTTTGTTTTTCTGCTCTTCATTTCTCACTGTTATCAACAGGTTCCCGTCTCTAAGAGTCTTAGCAAGTGTCAGCTCTCCAAACTTCCTTCTTTAATTTTTTGACTGCACTAACGGACTTAATTGAACTCCTTCATCCTCCTTTCTAAACTTTATGATCAATTTGGATTCTTCCCTAACAACCCTCTTACTAACCACATTGTTTTCCTCTGAACTGTTTTCTTCTAGACTCCTTTTATTACTTTGCAAAGTATCTTCCTTTCTATTTCTCTCTCTTCCTGACACTTTACCTCCACGCACCTGTGTCCACTCACCTGACTCCATCTCATCATCCCCTTCACTCTCACCTTGAGACGTCATAGCAGTCCAGTCACAAACAGTTTTATGCCAACCGCCCAATACTCTTGGGTTGATTCAGCTCCAACTTTCAAATTCGCCGCCAAAGAAACGTGGTCCAGCCAACTCTGAGTCATCCATCGTCTATAGCGGTCAGTGCTGTATCTAGCATGGTGTGTATTCATCGTTTTAACAATCATTTTGGAGTCGGAAGTGCCGTCACCATCATTTTAAACTAGGTTTACCAAGGTTGCTGGTTTACTTTCTCTTAAATATCAAATAATAATTATTTGCTCAAGCGTTATGAAAAAGGTTGAATACAGAAAACAAAGCGCATTAAAAAACAACGCGCTGTATGAACTTTCTCCGCGGCATTAACAGTAGCACAGCGACATCTAGTGGCGAAACATAAATAAAAAACAGGGAGGGCAGAAAGATGCTGTATACAAGAGTAGACAAAAAAGTTCATGCTCAATCATCCAGGTACCAAATCCAATAATATTTATTCGACACTTTGTTGAAGAAGATATAAACCAGATGAAGATTTTTTTTCAGCTCTGATCATGTCAGCTGTTGGCTGTAAACAATAGAAGGGTATCCAGAACTTCAACTCAGCTTGAAATTATTATTTTTTTAGGAATTCGTTATAGAAACACCAACTGAACAGAGTATTTTTTTAATAGATCTATTTTCCATGTAAGATTTATTCAGCACAGAATTTTTTTTATCAGTGTATAACTAAGATAAAAATGCAATATAATTTAGATATTTAATTTTTTTAACTAGATACTCATTCCCAAAATAATGTTTCATTTTTTTTATTAATAGAAGAAAAAAAGCATTATTTCATTTGTCACTTTTTTCAAGATGTGAACAGTCTCACTAGTATGTTTTAAAAACTATGTCATTATATTGGGATTTATTAATCAATGAAATACTTGTATATGTGATCAGATACATGAGTTTACATTAGTCAGTCACTCACAAACTTTACAAAAAGACTAAACAATTTGTAATCAGGGAAAGCAAACTATTTAATTAAATAGTTTTAGGAGGAGATAACTTCCTGAGAAAAAAAAGACCAATATTTAGCATCAGCCAAAGGTTTTAACTAAGTATACACACTGAATGAAACAACATTTAACAAATTATCTAGAATTTAATTACAAATAGGAAACAAAAATACCAACTACTGTAAATTAAAGTGTGATCTCTGAGAATGAGGCTCAGAGAGACCTTCAGGCACAGATGAAGCTGAGTTTCTCCTGGCAGTCCCAGCTCTCCCACTCTCCCTGTTTGGTTAAAGCTCCACAGCGTCTCTTCAGTGGACACTGGAGGTATTCTTCTCCTCCTAGCTTCTTCTTCCAGTACTCCAGAGGGTCCCCGTTCACCCACAGCCACTCATCTCCAAGGTAACGCAGACCGATCCACACCCGCCCAGTGATACTGGTCTGTTGGATCTCTTTTGTAGCCAGAAGGTTCTCGGTCTCAGACAGCAGGCTGCTGAGGTTACCTTGGTTACTTGTGCAGTACTTCAGAGCCTCCTCCCAGGTCTTCTCCTTCTGTACCACCATCAGGTTCAAACAGAAGAAATTATGTTGATATGCACCATTTTTCAATTTCCATTGATTGTTAGTCCAATATCCATTAAGAGAAGCATTTTGTAGTACAGGATCTGTCTTATCTGGTAAATAAAGACTGTTGTTGTAGGTGACGTAGTCTCCTCCAGACCATTTCCATCTTTGGATGTTTCGATCCCAGTAAATCCCGATCCATCCTTCCTTGTTATCATCGAAGGACTTTCTGAACAGCTTTTGCTCCAGTTCATTGGTGAGAGGTGAAAGATCAGTGTGGTAGTCCTGGCAGTATTCTTGAGCATCTATCCACCATTTTTGGTCTTGAATGAAGACATGTTTTTTAGACAAACAGTATGTGCTGGTAAAGATGATCACTCTGAAGATGATCTTCTCCATCCTGCTTCAGTCTGTGTTCAGCAGCTCTGAGACTCTGACTTTATTTTCTTGTTTAATTTCTGAGTTGATGGAGAATGAAACATTTGCATTCACGGAAACAAGATCTCTGGTTACTCAAGTCAAATTAACTGTGCACATAACACAACTCTCTCTCTCATTATATATTCTTTCTCCTTCTTCTTTCAGCTTTCCCTTCTTCAGGGGTCACCACAGCGAGTCATCCTCCTCCATCTCTGTCTTCACTCCATCTACCTCCATGTCCTCTCTAACTGCATCCATATATCTCCTCTTTGTCTTTTTCCTGGCAGCTGCATTTCTAACATCCTTCTACCAATATACCCACTGTCCCTCCTCTGGACATGTCCAAACCACTGCCTCTCCTCTGGACATGTCCAAACCACTGTCTCTCCTCTGGACATGTCCAAACCACTGTCCCTCTTCTGGACATGTCCAAACCACTGTCTCTCCTCTGGACATATCCAAACCACTGTCCCTCTTCTGGACATGTCCAAACCACTGTCCCTTCTCTTGACATGTCCAAACCATCTCAGCCTGGTCTCTCTAACTTTATCTCCCATTTGTTCAACATGTGCTGTACCTCTGATGATCTCATTTCTAATATTCTCCATTATTGTCACTCCTAAAGAGAACCTCAGCATCTTCATTTCTGCAACTTCCAGTTCTATCTCCTGTCTTTTTGTCCATGTCTCTGTCTCCAGACCATACAATATATCTGGTCTCACAACTCTAAACTTTTCCTTTGACTTTTGCTGACACCTTTTTGTCACAAATCACTCCTGAAACTTTTTTCCATCCACTTAATCCTGCCTGGACTCTCTTCTTCACCTCTTTAATACACTCCTCATTTTCCTGGACAGTGGACCCCAAGTACTTGAAGTCCTGCACCTTTGTGACCTCTGCTCCTTGTAGCCTCACTGTTCCACCAGCCTCCCTCTCATTCACACACATGTACTCTGTCTTACTACGACTGACTTTCATTCCTCTTCTTTCAAGTGCATACCTCCACCTCTCCAAGTTCTTTTCCACCTGTTCCTTGTTCTCACCACAGATCACAATGTCATCTGCAAACATCAAAGTCTATGGGGATTCCTGCCTGACCTCATCTGTTAGTCGGTCCATCATCAGAGCAAACAAGAAGGGACTCAGAGCTGATCCTTGATGCACTCCCACCTCCACCTTGAAGCTATCTGTCACTCCTACAGCACATCTCACCACTGTCCTGCTGTCCTCATACATGTCCTGTACCAGTCTAACATACTTTTCTGCCACTCCAGATTTCCTCATGCAATACCACACCTCCTCCCTCGGCACCCTGTCATATGCTTTTTCTAAATCCACAAAGACACAACAGAGTTCTTTCTGGCCCTCTCTGTACTTCTCCATCAGCATCCTCAAAGCAAAGTGGAAAAGAAAGCTCTCCTATGCTGTTTTGTAATTTCCTCCCTGGCTCCGATCGAGGTGACTGCTTTGTCTTTCCTCCCCCGTGTTTTTCCTTCCTTCTGCTCTGCTCTGTTTTGAAGTGCCTGGTTCACATCTCCCCAACGTAAATTAAGACGATTATGGATCTGGTATCCTGGGCGTTCAACTCTTTTGATAAGATTTTTCCATCAAAGCGACAAGGTCTTGGAAAACCTTCGTGTCCAGTTGAGACGCACGCTGGGGGTACATCATGGATCCATGGGGAATGTGGCAGCTGATGTACCTCTCAGTCCTGTCTCAGGAGGATGCTGAAAATGTTTACATGTTTGGAATTATGATATCAGGGACTCTGCTTTTTGGCATCGGCAGGGCTCTGTTTTATCAAGTTTCGAAGAAGACATTGGCAGCAGTTTTGGCCATGGCAAAGCTTCCGAGTCAATGTGAAGGTTTGGTCTGTGCTGTAGGAACTCTGCATCAACTGGTTTACGAGCTAAACCATAACGTGGAGGCGATTTATGAGAATCGCAGGCCACCTGCAGCTTCTGGGACTCGTCAGCGTGGTGGGTTCGACCTTGAGGGAGACTCATCGCATGGATCAGTGGAATGGAATTCCACAATTAGGCTAATTCAGAACCAGAACGCCCAGATGGACTCAAGGCTAAAGAAAAAAAAAATCTCTGCCTGAAGAAAATCAACAATCAAAGCTTATCTGAATCTGACTCCCCGATGGCCTCGGAATGGGCCGACCATCAAATTTCTCCAGGGTCATGAGTAACCAAGGACAAAAGCTTCATCCAGAGCCCTATAAAGAGAGAGTTGCGACACTCTTTGAACTAGCCCATACGCTGTCACGTGGTTCATGCAGCTGTCAACAGTTCCAAACAGCTCATCGCTGTCAGTCAGTTTGAGCGGCTGCTGGCGCAACATAACACAAAAATTGACTTTTCTTACTTTACCTGACGTCTTTCAGTAATTGCTGAGCAGTAACGAACTGATTACTGATTATTTCACAGACTATGCATTTTATCAAAGCACTTTTAGAAGCGGCTGATACCATGTACATTTATCATTAAATTTTAGAAGGAAACGAGACTGCAAACACATATTTGTTAGAAAAAAAGTCTATGCAATACATTGATCAATATAGTCATGTCAGTGTTTTATAACGTTACACACATTAAAAAAAGATCAGAGTAACACCTGTTATAAAGCTATTTCTGATGTTCTCTGCATGATAATGCTCCACCTTGTCCTCCATGCAGCATCAGATCTGCTCCAGCTTACCTTAGATCATCTGGATGAATTCTTGATTTCTATAGAAGATATTAATTCAACCTTTATTTAAACAGGTTAGTCCCATTGAGCCACGAGGACTCATTTACAAGAGAGACCTGAATATAATTGTTCTATTTGTCGTGTTTTTTTAATGGCAACCAAGTACCTGGATAGCTTGAGTTGATTGTAGCCTGACAACTACTGCAAAATTGTAATTCATTGATTAAAATGTTAATTTAAATGAAACTGTTTCTAGTTAAAATCATAATAGATGACAAAATAAGTGTTAATTGTGCAAAAATAAATTTCCAAACAATTTATTATAAAATATGTAAAATGTAAAACAAGCTTTAATAAAGTACTTTTACTGACATTTATACTGTTTATTAATGACATCATCTCAAGTCAGCAGGAGCACCATCATCATCACAACAACACAAAGTGAGAACTGTAAATTTAATCTGCACAAACATTTTCAATCAGGGCTCAAAATGTTTAACTGTCAAAGAAATGTGCAAGAAAATAAACTAATGTCACTCTACAGGCACATTTAGAGAGAGGACAGTTCACAGAGACACAGTGAGGACGTGTGAGACTGAAGGAGGTTCAACCATTTGTTCATGGACCAGAACCAGATGAGAAGAACAGCAGAACTTCCACTGCATGTTGATCCATTGACCAGTGATCTGACCAGTGATCACACCATCCATCCATCCATTATCTTTACCCGTTTATTCCATTTTTGGGTCACGGGGGTCGCTGGTGCCCATGTCCAGCAATCACTGTGCGAGGGGCGGGGTACACCCTGGACAGGTCGCAAGTCCATCACAGGGCCACATAGAGACAAACGAGACAAACAACCATTCACTTTCTCACTCACACCTAGGGACAATTTAGAGTTACCAATCAGTCTAACATGCATGTTTTTGGTCTGTGGGAGGAAACTGGAGTACCCGGAGAAAACCCACGCATGCACGGAGAGAACATGCAAACTCCACCCAGAAGGCCCCTGGACCGGGGTTTGAACCAGGGACCTGTTCGCTGAGAGGCAGCAGCTCTACCAGTTGCGCCACCGTGCTGCCTCCAGTGATCACACATGTTGTTCTAAATTAAACTTTGGTACGAACAGTGTTACAATAAGACGTCATATTTTTTATTGAACATTAATCTTCATTCTAACAGTGACGTTGTAATTTCAGAGACTGAGGAAGAAACAGAAATGAGGCGAGTGAGATGAAGTAAAGATGAAAATGTGTCCTCAGAGGACGGGGACATGTCAGGATCTGATGATCCAGGATCAACAGGGCCAGGAGGATGAATCAACAGGCAGTCGGGGAACAGAGATGAACAACCTGAGGGAACAATTAGAACACAAAAAAATACATAAGCAGGACAGAAGAGACTCAGACAAGAAAATTAACTCAGCCCTGCGAAGAAAAAATGTTAACAATGGAAAAGAAATTCTGACATTTTTTTTTTTACAAAAGATCAGATGAAGACAACTGGCATGAAGAATAACTTCCCAGCTCCATCTCAATGTACCTGTGATAGTTTAAAAAGTTTTTTTTGTTACTGTCCTACAGTTTATTGATGCTGATATATTCTTATATTCTCATATAATCACCTACACCCCCTGAACATAAGAGGATCTGCGGTGGAAGTGGTCTCCAGCTACAAGTACTTGGGTGTGCACCTGAATGACAACCTCAACTGGGGCAGAAACACCAACAGCCTGATCAAGAAAGCTCATCAGAGACTCTACTTCCTCAGACGGCTGAGACGAGCTGGTCTGGGAAGCTCAGTCCTCACCTCCTTCTACAGGTGTGCAGTGGAGAGCATCCTGTGCTCCAGCATCAACGTTTGGCATGGAGGCTGCACAGCTGCAG